AAAAACTATGTTCCCATTGGCCACACAACACATTATACTTGCCATGAACAATCTGTTGAGCTGGTCTCATGCAGGGTCAGCACTTCATATCAGTGAATGACTCAGTGCAACTGACAAGGAAGGGTGGGCAGCAGGGTAAAAAATGTCCCAGAAATAGGTATCGCTTTGTTAGAAAACCAGAAGACTGAACAATAGAGAATAAATGATTATGCTAGGTTATTTTTAAGTTACAAAGATTTTAGAATAGAAACAGAATGAAAAGGAGTCCAGGAGCCAACATAAAAGGACAGATGCTGTTGAATCCCAGGACAATGTGAAAAAGTTAACCTTTGTCTTGTGTGTATGTGCATTTTCATAAAGATGTTTTAGGAGAAAAAATATTTATAAATTGAAAAAATATTTTAGTTGAGGAAATATTCAAGGGCATAGTTATTGTCAGGAGACTGTGTAGTGTTTCTTTAAAAGAAGCAAGAAAAACAAGGGTGGGTTTCATGCAGAACCTTTGCAAAGAACTTAGGAGTCTTTATACTAGTCTTGACACAATGAAAAAAATTTAATTAGTTTATATGCATCATAAGTACAGCTATGCAAGCCTAGTAGCACTAGTAATTCACATCACAGCCTTAGCAAAAGGAAACAATTACATTTTGAAGATACCTGAAATTAATGCCCAGAAGTCTTACCCCTTTTATTTGTATTAATTAAAATGAATCAGCTGGACAAAATTATCCTCTAAGTAGATGACCTGCAGAAACAGTGATGCTCATGACCCATCCTCATCTATAACTTATTTTGTATTCATTCTTCTTTATGCAGACAAAAATGGTGCAAAAATATAGTAGAGAGCGCAGTGTTAAAAACAGCTAAACAATGGTTCAACAGAATTGCTTAAAATGTGGAAAAATTGTTTAGAAAGATGGGAAAACAGAGTGTTTCTTGAAATATGTGGAAGCTCTACATTATAGGGCTAACCTTAACTGTAGCCCACAAAGGAAGCTCCAAAAAGTAATAAATTTGTAGTGTTCTTCTGGAAAAAAAACTCCCTGCAGTCTCTGCACTCAGTCCACTAATGTGGGTAAATTCAAGAGTTTGCCTGCCCAAACAGTGGTGTCCAAGAACTTGAGCTACTATTGTGTCTCCTTAACTCTCAGTGAAGGTAGCTCTTCCTCCTCCAGTCATTCTCTCTTCCTGGTGTGTTTTTGCTTTGGTCTTGCTTGCTGTATGTTGGTGGCAGCTTCTGGGATTAGAAGACACCACCGGAGTTATCATTGATATTGGATTGGGCAGTGGTGAGTACCACCATAGACAAGAAGCCTAGCCAAAGCTGGCACATGTGTTGGTGACAGCTAATGGGGCAAAGAGAGGGAAGTCAGTCTGCTGTGGTGACATTGGTGTACAATGAGAGCCTGGTAGGGGATAGACATGGGACAGTTACTGTAGAGCACCTGGACAGGGGATGAGAATTTGGATCAAAGAAACTATGAAGAAAGTAGGACTTTGTCACTTTAGAGTGACAGTGCCCTTCAGACTGCTTTCCCATTATATGGGCTCCTTTCTGATTTTCCATCAGGTTTCTCCTGCTGCCAACTTTACTCTGGGATACCTTGTCTTCTCTGGCACTCAGTCACCATAAGATTACTCCTCTGCTCTGGACCCTGTACCTGCACAGGTGCCCAGTAGTCCAGGATGAAAAACTGTCAAGCTGCTACCTCACAAAATGGAAAATATGCATTGCTATGTTCCAACACAGAAACCAAAGTAAGAGTTGAAGTCCCACCTCCTGTCTTTCATCACAGGGGAGAGATGCAAGGAGATTCGTCATCTGGAGAACAAGGACAAGGGAGTATCACTTTTGTGGGACTTTCTGAGAAAATCATTATTAAATAAAACCTATTGTGGTCAGATAGAATTGAGGATAGGTGATGAATTAAAATTGGGGAGTATACATATAATTTTGCCAAGAACACCCAACATATAGCTCCAGCCTTGTCTGCTGATGCTCTGAGAAAAAAGTTCCTTCTTCAGTGTTGGAACATAGCAACTCATATTACCCAGACTAGCCCAGTGGCATTTTAGACCACACCAGACTTACAATATTTGCATAGAATCTGTGGGCCTTTGAGTAGAGACTGACCAATACCATATGGCAAACAATGATAAAAACTAGAATTTGCTCTCTCAAACTCATTTTACTTTTGATCCAAGACAGGACTTGCAGTAAATTAGTGTATATAACTCATGTCCATGTATAACACGCACTTGTGTATTACCCACGGTTTTTCTTTCATGTGAAAAAAAAATCTTAGATTACCCACGGACGTACATAACCCACAGGTAATGAACTGCAGCTAAGGCTGCTGAGCAATAAGTACTACCCTATTACCGGTATATAAGCCCTACAAACCACACCATTTTAAACTTTAGTTTATAACAAACTAAACTAACAAACTTTAGTTTATAACAAAAATATTTGTAAGGATGCCCAAGCAAAAATCATATACAGCCAATTTTAAATTATCTGTTCTGACATATGCAGAAGAAAATGGCAATAGAGCAGCGGGGAGAAAGTTTTAAATCAACTAAAAGTCTGTTCGGGAGCGGAGAAAAGAAATAGCAAAGATTCAGAAAATAAATCCTTGGGAAAGAGCATGCCGAGGAAAGAAAGCCAAGTGACCAAACTAGAAGAAAACCTGGTGAAGTGGGTTCTTGCACAGAGAGAGATAGCCAACGTGCAGTATCGTGTTGATCTTGTCTTCTTTTAATTTGAGTAAAAATCAGCTTGTATAAGACATGGGCATATATACCCCACAGTGGAGGGAGGGATTGGGGTTTGTAAAAACATGTATAACCCACAGGTTATATTAGTTAATTCACGGTATTTATTAAGCACCAGACTAAGTGGCAGGTTAACTTTGCACGCAAATGATCTGGGTGTGTCTTGTAACAAAATTCTTCAACTCATCTGACAAGAGAAGAAAGGATTATGTCACAACAGAATAAATGCTAGAGTATTACAAATGGTTGGCACCTATAAGGTCAGAGAAAATGATTCCTCTTCTGTAAAAATATCCTAAGAAGGATGATCTGCAGCAGAGGACAGTGTCTTATGCTACAACTGGTAAAACCATTGAGATTGCCATTTGAATACCCCCTTGCTCCATACTGAAGACCTTCTCAGAAGCTACTTTTCAAGGTTCTCAATGTGTCTGATTATTTTTCATTCATATTAGACAAGTTTAAAGAACAGTTCTTTATTAATTCATGGAAATTCATATGCTGTTAAACTTATAAAAGTTAAAATCACTAATTAATAATAAACATCCTTTGAACTTACAATGTACAGAATATTTGGTTGACATCTCAAAGCATTTTAAAAAGGTGGGTGATAAGTTTACTGATAAGTACAAAGTGACTTGACTGAGGGTACACAGCAAGTAACAGAGAACCAGAAATAGAACCCAGATCCTCTGATTTCCTTGACTTTCTTTATCCAAAAGACCACCTTGCTTCACTAGATCAGTTAATTTTTTCATTAGGTAGTAATATTTGGTCAAACTTCCACATGATGTGCGTTGGTGAGCTCAGTTAAGACCATCACATGCAAAGATACGTCACAAACCTTGAAACCCACATGACAAATCTGCAGTTCTTAGTGAAAGAGAGGTACTAACACAATAATGATGGTTTTGAGCCATCAATTTCAAAGAATTACAGATGATGTCCCATCTTCCTCTTGATAAACTTCAGAAGCTCAGATAGAAGCATGCATATCATTAGGAAATAACATTACTAGAGTCAATTGAAATTATTTTGAGCTTTGTCTGAAGATTGAAGCCAGCAAGCTGACTATTTTGAGCTGCATCAAGTATCTACATCAGATGAGATATCAAATGTTCATTATTTTATTAGGATGGCTAGATAGCTAAGGGTAAATTTTCATGCAAGCAATGTGTTTTTGATGGAACAGTCACATAGGTAATGTTTAAATTTTTCTTTTCAGAGAAGTTTTCATTTTACCTAGGTATATTGCCATTTAAGAAAAAAGATATTTACATTTACTGGACATTTTTCATAAATTCAGCTTTAGGACTTAATGCATTTTGCCACCCTGCATCCCAAATCTTTAAATGACCCCAGTACTATATATGTGCAATAGCAGGATAAGAGATCTGCAAACTTCACTTTTTCCACTAGTAATTATAATTGCAGCATTATATGCTGCTTTTGTGACAGCAAAATGTAATATCTACATCAATTAAAGGAAAAAATAATAATTTACATGTAGAATGCCAAAGTGGTATGCACAGTGGAAGATTTGTACATCTAAATCAAGCAAACAAAGTATCATGTATGCTTCCGTAGGCATATTTTTGAAAATCTGGCACAGAGTTTGTTATCAACATATGCAACTGTAAATAAATCTGCTGCTTTTTATGTCAAATACTTGAGTGTTCTGAGTTCCTGTATTCAGCTGAAGAGGAGATGGGAAAAAGTGTACATGAAAAGCTCCTTGAGTTGTACATGCTACTGAAAAGCTACTAAAGAAGATCAAAACAGACTGCAAGTATATCTCAAATATGCAATAATTTAATGTCTTAATTTTGCACCACATATTGTAATTTCAGTAACTAAAACATTGTCAAACTTCTGGCTTTTAAAAACTTTCAAGAAGGCTACCCACACAACAATTTTCACAGAACTTTCCTAACCAGTAAAATAAACAAAAACACATACACCTGCTTTGAGAATGGAGCTTGTTTTAATGTATTTTTAAAATTAGTTTCAACAAAAGTAGAAACATTTACTGAACAGCTGGGGGAAAAAAGTTCAAAATGGTTAGGAATAACTGTCCATCAAGCATCATGAACTGAAATGTCTTTGAAAGGCCATTGTATTTAAGTTGAGAGCTTCCATTTTTTAAACCTACTCCACTTTAAAATCTTGTCTTGAGTAAATTAAAAAATAAGTACAAGTATGTGCTTAAAGTAGTAAATACTTACAGTATCATGTTGCCTATTATCTTTCCCTGACAGGATCAAGAAGTGGTTCCATGTCAATAGTAACAATAAAGCAAGTGGTATCATGTAGAGCTCAAAGTTCCAAACCACCAAAAGAAAAAGCTAGAAGACAGAAGAGAGATAAATGTTTTAACACTGAATTTATTTACAGTAATGAGTTAAGTATTAAACTAATCTAAACAAACACAACACTATCTCTGAACACACACCTGGAAAGATTGATTAAGGATGTGGCTGAATGTGCAATCACAACCACCAGTTTGAAAGTTACTACACCTCTGAAAATTAGCTGTGACATATCTTGAAAGAAAACATTAAATTTCTACAAAGAAAAAATTAATCATTCCAAAATGTGAAAACAATTTGAATAGCCATTAAATACATATCACAGATTGTTTCCATCTACATATTACATATCTACATTACATATCAGAAATACCTCAGTAAATATATTTTTAACCTGGAGGAAAAAAGCAATTACAGGCAGTCCCCGGGTTACGTACAAGATAGGGACTGTAGGTTTGTTCTTAAGTTGAATCTGTATGTAAGTCGGAACTGGCATCCAGATTCAGCCGCTGCTGAAACTGACCGCCAGTT